TAAAGAAGAAGAAAAATGCCCAATAAAATTCATACATTTTTTAGTGGAATTCTGTTAATTTGATAATTGTTTGTGACTTCTTCATTTAACAAAAGCTATATGTGAATCAGCATTCTTACTGACGAGCATTAAGGATGGTGGAGGAAATGAAAGAAACATCCTAAACGTAGAATAGAATTAAATAGCTAAGAACAAAGCAGAATTGTTAATATAAAAAAGAAGATGTGGTATGATTGCCAATGAGACAACTCTCCACAAGAGAGCTAATTTAAATTTAAATCAAGAACACTAATTAAAGTTTGTAAACCGACTACTCCTTATTTTCTATAAGAAAGTGAATTTAAGGGGGTAAACAAATAATGAAACTTTATGTAGAATAATGCAAGCAGATCAATAAAGTTATACTTACTTAAATCAAAGTAATCTAAAAAAAAAAATTTAAATAGAAAATCGTGTTTTTACCTAATCTTTACGAATATTTTAGTATAGAAAACCGTAATGCACATATGGGATAGATAAAGAAACCCTCGTTTTTTATTAGAATTAAGCAACACTCAGTTAATACTTCGCAGTTATGGTATAAGAGTAGAACATAAAGAAAGGCTGTTGGTTCCGATGTTCCAATGTTGTCCTAAAGCATGCCTGCAAATTGTTTTAGGAATTCCAGAAACATGTTTCGTGCATATTAAAACAAATAAATACTTATGTAATTACAACTGTGTCAATACAACTGCTGTACTGTCAGTCCCCTTAATATCAACAGCAAGTGAACAAAGCTTCTTCAGGATTGGTTTTCGTGTACTCGACATAAGTTCAGAAAATTTAACATAATTATGACATTATTAAATATAAGTTTAAACAATCCTTTTTGTTTTGACATTTTCGCACGATTTATGCAATTGAACTGTAGTTACCTGAACTTTAAGTGTCATAATACTAGTGTAACAGTCTAAATTTGTAGACCACAAACTGACCACATTATGCTGGGCAAGGAAAAGCAAGGAAAAGACGGAGATTGATTGTACTTGAAAGTATGTGATACTTAGTTTTATGTGAGAAGGCTGATAGGTATATTGTGAATATTTAGGGTGATTTTTAAGCATTCTCTAAATTAACCGACAAAAAATATAATCTAGTAGGCAAAATGTTGAACACTTTTGTGTTTAATGGGGTTCGTGTTGCTTAATCTTTTTTTTTTGTGTGTAGTGCTTTGTTTACTTTTGTGTGTCTTTGTCGTGTTCTTTTGGTCATGGTTTTTGTCTATTTGTCTTCGACTCATGTTTTATTATTACTCCCTTGGGATGTTCTGTCCTCTTTTTTTCATTTGTTTTTCATAGTTTGAATTAAAAGGCTATGCAGAGTTGTGGAGATAGATCCCAGGGGTCTGTTGTTCAACTTGTCGTTAAACTAATCGTATTATTAACTTTAACGAGTCGTTAAAAGTTAATCGCATGATTAGTAAGCACAATGATTAAATTTTGTTGTTCAGCTTATTTCAATCATTGTATTGGTTAATCACTGTATTGATTTTTAATCATATCTGTATATCTGGTAAGTATATATATCTTTATTCTCATCACCAATTACATTTACATAGATACAGAGAAGACATGTAATACATTACATTAAATACATAAACATAAATATACAATATATACAACAACAAAAACAATTTCAATTTATTCAGGAGGACACACTCGCTTGTTTATAATTCGTATAAACTTTCATAAATTTATGAGGTCTGTCCTATTTGTAGAACTTCAAGACATAATGTCAGTAAATAGTATAATGTTTGGCCTTCTATTAAAATTTTGATTTATTTATTTCTCTCTCCTATAAAATGTGAACAATTTATAATGTAATGGAATTCATCTCCAATGTCTAGATTGCATAAATTTCACTTTCGTTTTTTCTCTTTCTATAATGTACCATCTTCCAAAATCGACTGGAAGTTTATGGTAACATATTCTGAATTTACACAATGTCAAAAAATCTTTTTCGTCTAAAATATTAAGATATTCTTCAAAACAAAATAAAGTCTTAAAAATACGGTAATTCAAGGCTTTCGAACAGTTTTGAATGGTCTCATTCCATGTTTGTTTGAATTGATCACACAATCTTGCTTTGATATAATATTTCAACCATACATCATTTAAAAAGTACTGTGTGTTCCAGATATAAGAAAATCCACATTCATCAAATATACGTTTAACAAATCTTGTTTTGGTACAATACCAGTGGTACAGTAGTTTATATATAATACAATAAAATTGAGAATGGAAATGGGGAATGTGTCAACGAGACAACAACCCGACCATAGAACAGACAACAGCAGAAGGTCACCAACAGGTCTTCAATTCAGCGAGAAATTCCCGCACCCGGAGGCGTCCTTCAGCTGGCCCCTAAACAAATATATATACTAGTTCAGTGATAATGAACGCCATACTAAACTCCAAATTGAAACTAAAATTAAAAATAATACAAGACTAACAAAGGCTAGAGGCTCCTGACTTGGGACAGGCGCAAAAATGCGGCGGGGTTAAACATGTTTATGAGATCTCAACCCTCCCCCTATACCTCTAGCCAATGTAGAAAAGTAAACGCATAACAGTACGCACATTAAAATTCAGTTCAAGAGAAGTCCGAGTCTGATGTCAGAAGATGTAACCAAAGAAAATAAACAAAATGACAATAATACATAAATAACAACAGACTACTAGCAGTTAACTGACATGCCAGCTTCAGACTTCAATTAAACTGATTGAAAGATTATGTCTTCATCATATGAATAATGCTTTGACTGTTTTCCCATAATCAATTTCGACCAGTAGGATATCATCCTTAATTTTACATCAATATTCAGTGGAAAACGTCCTATAGCTCACCGTATATCATACAGTCAAGGAGTGGAAGATTTCAGATTCAGGAGCAGTTTACAACATTTATACATGTATGAACCTTTTCGATGATATCACAGTTACTGAATCCCCATATTTCTGATCCATGTAACAGAACAGGTTTGACTACTCTATTAAAAAGGTCTAACTGACAAGAAACTGATAGGCTATGAAATTTTCCACAATTTATTGTGTATACTTTGATTATTATTTCATTCTTTGTACCAATGTGTATACAGTGGTTTTAAAGAATAAAATTGTCTTGTCTTGTCTTGTATATTAAGTTTGGGTAATATTAGCAAGTGTTTCCCACAATGCATTGTAAGTCAGGGCCTATATAACTTCCTTTTCCGCATTAAAACTATAGCCTTCTTTGCTTTACCTAGTATTAGAGTGCCACTTAATATGATTAATATGATATCTTTAAACATGTTCATATATTTATGGTAACATATTACTATTTTAGATTAATCAAAATTGTCCGTTTGAGTTCAAAACGATGAAAGGAAAAATAATTGCTGAATCAGTAAATGCAGAAATTTATAATGCATTAATTCTTTCTATTAAAATATGCTTTAGGGTACATTTTGCAATAATTAACATTTGCATTTCATCCATGAAAAGGGCCAGAGTTTTTCATTTGTTTGTTCACAAATTTTGTTGTCTGAAATGATGGTGTCGGGTGGTCGAAAAAAAAACCCATCAAATTGCATTCAATGAGTAAACTTTTGTTTCTATAAAAAATTTCAATCACTTTTTAAACGTTGTCTTCGGTCCTCTCTTTATGTTGTTGGTTGCACAAAAAATTATTCTTCGCGGAATTTGATGTTGATAGCAAATAATTTTAAGTCTTTTGTTAAATTTATATATCCGCATGATAATGATTCCTTTAAAACCTGTAATTGCTGTTGTTAATTTTGTACAACTCTATACAGATACATGTTTTTTGTTTTATAAATGACGAAATCGTTGTAATGTAATGTAAAAATCCATGGAATGTAATCTCCGTTGACGCTTTGGTGAAATTTGCTTTTTAGTCTTTCACGTCCGCATTTATATCAAATATGGCATGCCCAGTTAAAATTTTAGATAATAATTACGGATGGTGAAAATAAATTACAGAACTGTAATCGATACCATATATTGTAATTTATACGGAATAAGAAGACACCATGTGACAATTTTTATTACTCAATTGTGTAAGTTTAATGCCATATTGCACAGTGGTTTAATTTAGAGACGCTTTTCAATATTTTGTTTTATTAAAGTGAAATTACGACTTGTTCGTTATATCTATTAACAATACCCTGAACAAATATTTGCTTGCAAATAAACACAATAACAAAGATCAAACAAAACTATCCGACATTATGATATATCTTGATTATACGATATTCACTCGGGCAAGGATTTGTCTCACTATACAAATCCTTGACTCGGGATATGGTGTATAATAGTAATTATTATACCTTACATTACATAGTAATTATTTGATTGGCTAATACAGATCACGTGTCATAGTTTAATTTTGATGTTTTTCCAGAAATTGGCAGGAGTGGTGAAAGCCCCCGTGGAATAACCCCTACTCGGGTTGACAGTTTTGGATATTCACCTCCTCAGCGGGCCATAATTGTATAATACAAGAATAAGAAGATGTGGTATGATTGCCAATGAGACAACTTTCCACCGGAGACCAAATGATGTAGAAGTTAACAACTATATGTCACCGTACGGCCTACCGCATAGTAAGCTATAAAAGGCTCTGAAATGAAAAATAAATAAAAACAATTCTTGTTGCCAGGTCAAAGACTATGTTGGACTAACTTTCCTCACTTTCTGAGGAAAGACATTGTTTCAAGTGAAATATTGTCCGTTCTTGCGTTGGGAGAATATCAAGTTAAGAAATCACTGGTCGGGATATTCCATATTTGCCGATATCCGTAAAATTACATAGGACATTGAGCAACCAAATATTAACCAATGAAATTAGTGCGGATAGTATTAGTATATTCCAGGAAAACTAACAGTTCTAATATTACAAGGTGCATGACAATTCAGTGTAACACATTGTGGTATCTTATTACATATTCGTGGAATTTTTCAATATTACATGTAGTTTTCCGTATTAAACGGTGTTACAGGCTGTATTTTCTGATACAGTGAAAACAACTACCGTTAGCAAATTCAAAATGTTCCGTAGAAGATTTGTTCTTTTTCTCATCTGTCTATCAGTTAGAATTGGTAAGTAATTTCTTCAATTATTGTTTCATTTCAGTGGTTTTTGTTTGAAAGTTTAGCATTGTTTTATTTCTTACCATTCTTTCGTCTTTTATTGTAGGCGTAAAGGCATCCTGTATCAGCGAAGATCTACTTCGAACATTATTGGCTACAAAAGGGTCATGTAAACCAGGTAATTACGACTTTTTTCTTTTTTAAAATAAGATTTTAAGATCGTGATTTCAGATGAGATCTTCCAAGCTTAATGCTGGATCGGTACCGCTGCTAGTGGAATTTTAGCAACCTTCATTAACAACCGCCCAATATAGTGATTCAATATAGCGTGATTTATATGATACATTATGGTTTTTTTTTTAAATCAAGTTCATTAAATTGTGTTACTGTGAAAAAATGAAAAAAAAAGTTTAACCAAAAATACTGAACTCCTGGGTAAATTCAAAACAGGGGAATTTCATAAAACATGACAAAACCAAACGCTCGATTATATTACGACTGGAAAACAACTGTGATATTCCTGGCTTGGCATAGCCATGTTCTGAAGAAACGGTATATGAAACCTGGATTTATAGCTAGCTAAACCTCCCACTTGTATTACAGTTCTGTATAGTTCCGTTAGGTTGGTCTAATTGTGCAATCAGATTGACTGGCAGAAAATAGTTTACACCAAAATACAAGTACTACACAAACTAAAATATACATAATTCGGAGAACATTTATGGACATCGCAGCATGCTAAAAACTGAAAGTTTTGATAATATTTATGAAGCACTTTATGTTAACTACATCTTAATTATTATATACTAGTGATTTTTTTCGCGTGTATTTTCCCAATTAGCGAAAATAATACCCAGTGAAAATTTAACCTGCCCAGTTTGTCATCAAATCGCGAAAAAAAGTCGACGCGAAAAGAACCCGATATATATGTAGTATATCAACCAACCGAACACATGGAAAACACCTGTCATATTTCTAACTTGGCAGAGGTATTTTCCACAGAATATAATGGGGTGGACCTGGTTTATAGCTTGCTAAACCTCCCACTTGTATGACAGTTGTAGATAGTTCCGTAATATTGACAAAATTGTGTTAGCTACCCAAACAGACTTAATTGGTTAACATGACAATAATAGGATGCCCAATCAATCAGAGGTTAAGCCCCTGATTTTCCTCTACTTTCTTTCAAAGTTGTTATCTCCTGAAAATTATACAAGTTGTTTCGGTAACTCTATATGATATAAAAAGTCCTTGCCCAGCAGGCAAAAGTTGATATCATTTTAAATTGAAAGATTGTCGATTAGCGTCAATTCCAGGTAACTGCAACACAAATTATTCTACAGGATGATGTTTTTAGTTATTACGTGTATGACCATTAATAGTACCAGCATAACAAAATAATGTATTATACCATGGAAGTATTATACTTCCATGATTATACTAATTTCTAATCTTTTACATGCATACTTTTGAAAATTAAGATCAGAGTGGTGTTTGAATAAACTGAAACGAGATTGGAATATAACTTATACAAAACAAGAATTAAATTTAAAGAAACCTGACAAATTGAATATAATAGTTAAAAAATGAAAATAGATCCATTATGAAATGAAATATTGTTTACCATTGAAAGTCTTTATTGAATGATGATTGTTATTTATTTTTCCTTATTATAACAAGATCAACAATATAACGAGGTTTCCGAAATTGTCAGTAGGGAGTTTATTGCCCGTTAATGATGATGTTTACCCATTTTTTGCTTTTTGGGGAAAACTTTGGTAAATAAAGAACAATTCTAAACAGCAAAAATGATCACCAAGACAAGATCAACAAAACAAATAATCCATAAATGAATTATATCATAGACTACAATATTGGAGAGTGGCCATCGTTGATGGTGCAAAAGAGAGGTGAAAGATATCAAAGGGACTTCAAACTTATAAGTAGAAATAACCGACAACGCCATGGCTAAAAAAGAAACAGACAAACGGACAAACAACAAAATACAACATATATCCATATGAGCGACACAAGACCTCTTTTTTTTGCGGGGGGGGGGGGGGGGGGGGGCATCCATATATTTAAAAAAAAAATGTAATATTCTAATCAATATGAGAGACTATAGTTTGTTTCCATTGTACATTAAAAACAAAATTAATTTCAGCAATGAGTCAATGAGTTACAAAACCATTTCTTGTTCCTGCATGTTATTCAACAAAATATTTATATTTTTGTTAAAGTAGAGCAAAAGTGTTTGTCCCTGGAAAAAAATCCATGCCAACAGCTAAAGATACATGTTCAGTGTCTAACATGTGCTTGTATGTGCAAGCTTACCTCATTGCTGTTGAAGTGTCAATATTCCTTGAACTAGCTCTTGATCTTAGTACGATATATATGTAAAGTTTACATTTTCAGCCAAACCTCTAGATAAAAATTAAATCTATTTCAAACATTTACGAAACCTTCTCAGTTGTATTATATTAGATTTAAATAATTCGAAAATAGATATAATTTAATTCACTGGATTTTTTTTTTCAATTTCGTAAAATCAGGAGTGTAAATTAAAGTACAGACACAGCAACTTCACACACACACATCTAACAGTGCTTGTAACATCATCTCTCGGTAGCTACTGAACCTTTTTAGGTGCTTTTCATTAAAATAGATTCCTTTCATTATTTATAAGCTTCGTTTGATTAGCAGCTGACAAGGAATATGCTTTACTATAATGGCACATTTTTATTGTATATTTATTTTGAATAGAAGATAATAAATGCCACCTCAGTACGTTATGTTCTTCCTTTTTGATATGTTTATTTCCTATTATTTATTTATTAATACAGTAGTTAGACAAACAGATATTATCATATGTATTCGCAATTTATTTGATGATTAGATTGTCTCTCGAAATAAAAGGGGTAGGTACTTCCTTAATATTTACGAGAACAAAATCAAACACTATTTTATTTACATACTTATAAACTTTCATAGTATAATAAGAAAACTATAAAAGGACTCTGTCCTATTTTTAGAATAGTTATTGATAATTCAAATGAACATTGGGACAATAATTTATATGCTCCGTGTCTCATTTACATTAAACATTAATAGAATTTGTTCGTTGAAAAAAAAATGAATCAATTCTGTAGCCTATTAAAAGATTGCATTGTAACTAATCTACATGTTTTATTCATATAAATTACTGATACAAATAACAGTAAATGCTTAACTTGTGGTTGCATTTTAGGCTACAATGAAAACGCTGCATTTCATGCATACGTAGCACGTCACACTCCTTTTAGTGGAAATGACATCCTGAAATTTGACGATGTCCATACAAACATAGGGAACAACTACGACCCTTCAACAGGCAAGTTCACAGCGCCAAAAACAGGATTGTACCAGATAGCATGTACCATACAAGGATATCAGACGTCTGCTGTAACCTTCCAAATACAGAAAAATAATGAAAGATATGATTATGGTTATGCAGGAGGTCGGGACTGGCATGCTGTAACTCGTGTTCTACTGATGCAGCTAAAGGAGGGAGATAAAGTGTTCGTACAGCACAGAGATCCAAAGAGAAAAGAGACTGTTGCTGGAGGTCGCCATTCATATTTTTCTGGACGTTTTTTGCAATCAAATTCAATTTGATATGAAATTTATCAATAATAAATACATCCTTATTTCTTTTTAACCTGAACGTACAAACAAAAAGGGCAAAAGTGTATACATGCACAACAAATATTTAAAATTATAGGTTTAGGTAAAATGAATTCAAACCCAAACTGTTGGTAATTTTAGGAACCGGACATTTTTTAAAAGTGTGTGAATTTGAATTCTGGATTTATTTTTCATGCCTGTACCCGTTAAAAACCAAACTATATAGATAAGAAGATGTGGTATGAGTGCCAATGAGACAACTCTCCATCCAAGTCACAATGTATAAAAAGTTAACAATTATAGATCAAAGTACGGCATTCCACACGGAGCCTTGGCTCACACCGAACAGCAAGCTTGAAGATCCTCTGTCTATTTTATTTAAATCTCAAGTCCCAAATATGTGTTGTTAGAATCAAAGAATGTACAAGCATGAGGCTGTGATACTTATTAAAGTGAGGGTTCAATCAAAACTGTTGATCTCCGAACAGTGATATATAATTGCTTACATCCACGTCATTTGGTCTCATGCATACATCTCCTTATTCTTATATAATATATGTTTGGTATTAAATTAATAATTAAGATTCATTTTGTTACATCTGGTGATCCGTTAATTTGGGAATCGCCATGGCAGTCAGCAGGGTTTTAGAACATCTGTTGTTCGACCTGCTAGTCAAATGCGTTTTGTTAAAATATACTTTTTCACTTTTTTGGTCTTTTGGAAAATGTTGTTTGTGCTGTATTTAGACCCATCACCAAGAAATTTGTTTTGCATGCACACTTAAATTGCGGGAATTTTTATACGTGTGCATGCAAAACAAATTTCTTGGTAGAGGGGTCTAAATACAGCACAAACAACATTTTCCAAAAGACCAAAAAAGTGAAAAAGTATATTTTAACAAAACGCATTTGACTAGCAGGTCGAACAACAAATGTTCTTAAATCCTGCTGACTGCCATTGGCGATTGCCAAATAAACGGATCACAAGGTGTAATAAATGGATCTTAACTATAAATTTAATACCAAAAAGAAAACAATAAACTTGCGGCGAAGATGGTATACCGCAAACAAAGGTGCAAAGATTTTTATATATTTCACAAGTGTGGATACAGATCAGTGTGGGTTGGATGTTTGACAGTGTTTTCTGACAAAAAAGGTTTCAATTTTTTTCATAGTGTTCTACGTTAAACTGTGTTTCACAGTGACAGACATTATGAATATCAGCCCAGTACTAAACACTAAAAATCAGCAGTGTCGTTTATTCAATATTTGGTTTTTATGTTCAAGACATTCATGGAGGAGACACTATCAGCAGAATGGATTAACAAATAATCCTGTTAAAATGTTCCACAACTTTACTTTTGGATAAAGCAAAAACTAAAAATAAGAAGAGGAATATATTATGTGCTTTTCTCCATGATGTTATTTTGATATGCAAGATGGTTTCTGAGAACCTGTATGTATAATAGAAAACCAAAGGATATAAGGGAATCTACCATGACACAAAATCAGTACATGCAAAGCAAAAAACGTACAAAAAGCAAAGGAACAGCGCATGTATTGCTGTACTTCATCTCAAAATCACACTGAGGCCTTCAACACGGACCAAAAACATCTTTTACCTCCCTAGAATTATAAGACGGCCCCTAGCGCCGGTTTGAGAGGAATTCTTTGCAAAAATTTCGGATAGACTTTGCACCACCAAATCGGGCCCGGTCAAAAAGATCATACTGGAAAGTAGTACAATATTTAAAACAAAATAGTTCCTACGGATAGGTGTAAATGTCAAACTATGTAGAATATATTTTAGTAAGGACAAGGTACGATACGTATATATCAGAGAACGGCCCCCAATTTTCATTCAAAATTAAAAGTGACGTGCCATAAATTATAATGCTTTACTTTTAAAGTTTAAAACCTAAATTTTGATTCTATTCTCATACACACTTGGTCCGGACCGACACTTATTCATTTTTTTTATATTGACTTATTATATTTGGCATAAAGTGTATAACCATAATAAAATTATCATATCAGTTTAATATCATTATGACCTTTACCTTTGATTTCTAGGTCAAAATAATTGATGTTGTGCTCTTGACCTTTGACTTTGAAGGTAAAATAATTAAGTTGTATATGCCCAATCCACAAACCGTATAGATTTTTACAGGCTATGTCAATTCGTTTTTACTGCACCGAATGATTTATCCCTTGAGATCATATCCCCTTATATAACGAATCCTTAATTATCTCAAAAATGGTTTATATCCCACCCATTGCCTTGATAAGCCATTTCTAATTCACCATAGGTTTTCTACCCAGGGAGCACATACATATCCCCACCCCTACATCATATTAATTCTTAGTTGCCTGGATTAAACAATTTATTGCAAACAAGGTCTGTTTGTGGTACAAGCCACGTCTCTTTCAATTCATTAACTGTTGAATATCTTTAAAAACTGTTCAGACCTACCCTTAATTAGTAAATTCTTTATATTCTTCTTTTCATACCTTTTCTTCACATTGAAGTATAGGTTTTGTAGTTGTCTTTAATTTAAAAAAAACTGTTTGATGTTGCTAAGCAACAGGTGTGTTTCTATGCTCGATATAGAATTCATCGTCCACAAGTGTCATTAGTGAAAGATTTTGTTTAAATGCTCGATATTGTTTTCTAGAATAATATGTCAATAGTTTTAAGTGATGACAATACCTGGCATGCACATGGGGCTAGATGAGCCAGAAAGTACACTTCTGTTGTGTTATTTTAATTCTTTCTTTAAAAATTTCATCTTCTTAGATTCTCCAAGGCCTTGTTGAAATGATATAAAAGAAAATTTAACCAGTTTGAAATGATTTTAAAACATTGTGAATCCATTTTAATTGTATATCATTCTTAATTTCTAAAGATTAATTATGAGAAATAGTGTAGACTAAATGGAATATGAACTATGATCATTCTCTAGTTTTTTTAAATGAAAAAGGTATTGCAGAATTGTTCATGTTTTTAGGTTAAAATGAAGTAATTATTTACATAGGCAACAATGGTAGCCTTATTGGGTCCTGCGTTTTTACTATAAAAGATCCGTTGATTAACTGTCAAATTCTGAATTATCAACACCTTTGGGTGTGAATAAAACTGTAAAACACATATGATGCCGCAGCTTTTTTTATAGAAAAATGGCATTTTTAAGGGTACTCTATGGTTCCCGAATTTTCGAAATAGTATGAATGAAGAATACCCCTTGCTTAATTTTGCACAGAAAATATTGCTCGTCACAGAGAGTTTCCTCCAAATTTCTCGCTATTTCTGCACCAAAAGCCAACACTCATTTCTCATTATTTCAATTTTCTTTTCTAGTTAACAGGGCAGCAGAAAATAAATTTACTTCTACATATTACCTTGGATGTAAAAACTAGGTGGCGCCAGTCATCTTTATTTACTTCCTTTTAACCTATAGGTTCTTGTTATGTAGATAAAACTATAAATGAAACCTGTAGGACGCAGTTGTGTTGTGATATGAAAATGAACAGTGCTGTAATTAACATTAACACATATTAAGACATGAACGAATGAATGATAAAAGTTGAACAATGAAAGAGAATTTTAGAAATCGACTAGGCTTTGTGAGTTTTGTCCTCATGTACAAACGAATGACCAATTGCACTCAAGACTCTTCAGTAGCTATAGGCAGTACAGCTGATTAAATAAGTGTTGCAAAATCACCTAGCATCATATTGCAGGTAGATTTCAATGTGCTTTTTCTACTGGATGAAAATGTTGGTTCAAAAGTAAATACAATGCTTTAATCTCCCTTTAAGTACTTAATATGTTCCGTGGATGCTGCTTCAATAGTTCCTTGTACTGAAAGTTTCTTGATAATATTACATATATAGATATAGATTGTATGTTTGCAAATCTCAATTTCACAAAGAATTCATTTGCATAACAATGAACTGAGATCAATGCAAAACATTGAATAATACACTTTGACAGAGCTCAATCCAGTGATATAAACTGTGTTATACTGCCGGACCTTCATGAACACCGCTAACAAACATTCCAAACTACGTGGATCGGAGGCCTGAAAATAGACATTTCAATTAGTTATAGCATATTTAGATGTAATGTATTCGTATTCAGTCCGGTATGCGGTTTAAATAGAACAAAAGAATTCGAACTCTTGTGTTTAGAAGGTAGAAAAGTGAAATGAACTTTGTGTACGGTTGTCAAGATGACACAAAAGTTACTTTCCGTAAAAACATTATGAATATTTGCATTCACGTTAATAAATTTTCATATTGTACAACTGTTAACAATGCAACTTGCAAACAATCGTTTTAAAAACGACCATAAGTCAAGTTGTTACATCAATTAGGGGGTCTCCTTATAAACTGCTACTTTTTTTTGCCCGACATAGAAAAAATCTGGGGAAAATTACGAATATTGAGAAATGAATTATCAATCGGTTAAGACCATTCCCAAAGTGGCACACCTAAATTTGACATTTGTACGCAATTTCCAAGTTGGGTGTTATATGGCGGGGTTTTCCTCACTGATTAACGCATCGAACACACCCCGTCCTATACAAGTAACATCACATGACTTTTAGTGATAACAAGAGTGCACACACTGAAATGTCTCGCCTTCTTTACTAATCATTGATATTATGTTGATAGTCCTAAATATAAAGCTTTATTACAACTGTCACATAAACTTAACATTAACCAAGTAAACTAAACATTGACCAATGAACCATGAAAATGAGGTCAAGGTCAGATGAACCATGCTAGGCAGCCATGTCCAGCTAACAATTCTTCCATACAACAAATATAGTTGACCTATTGCTTATGGTTTAAAAAAAACCAGACCAAAACACAAAAAATTAACATTGAGAAAATGAACCTTGAAAATGAGGTCAAGGTCAAATAAAACCTGAGTGACTGACAAATAGATCATAAAATATGTCCATACACCAAATATAGTTGAATTGTTGCATATAGTATTAGAAAAAAAGACCAAAACTCAAAAACTTA